CACCGCTCACACCCGGGAGCAAGCAGAGGGACAACGGCGCCAACATGACACACTCACAGGCCACGTTCCCAAGTTCAGCCCACGTGGTAAATGCTTTAAAAGTACTCCAACGTAAAACTTCACTGTCTGATTTTTCAAACTGGCCCTTTTAACTTTTCCTGGAGCTGTTGATTTTTCTGAGTTTGTGTTTCTTCCACTCTTCTTAAAGTATTTCTCCAACCCTTAGGGACAAAAGGATGACGTTCTAGCATTTTAATTCTTTTCTGAGATGGAGGCTCACTTTGTCGCCCAGGCTGGAGTGCAGTGGCACAATTTCGGCTCACTGCAACCTCCACCTTCTGGGTTCAAGGAACTCTCCTGCCTTGGCCTCCTGAGTAGCTGGGATTACAGGCACTTGCCACTATGCCTGGCTAATTTTTGTGTTTTTAGTAGAGACAGGGTTTTACCATGTTGCCCAGGCTGGTCTCGAACTCCTGGCCTCAGGTGATCTGCCCTCCTCGGCCTCCCAAAGTGCTAGGATTATAGGCGTGAACCACTGTGCCCAGCCCAGTTCTAATATTTTAGAAGAAAGAATCACACTAAGAAAAGCCACCATACTGTCAAGCTGATATACAGAAAGTGAGAGGGGCCAGTTTTCCCTGGTCTTGTCTCTATTCTTGCTTCATACAATCAGCATGTGCCCCCAGGTCCTCACATTGATGCAAGTGTGGGGAATGCCTTCTACTCTGGGGGGACATAGGGTCTTCAGGGATTTCGGTCGACACTGTCCCTGGACACAAAGCACAGGCCCATGGCCTACAGAAGGACTGCAAGTAGGCAAGTGTGCTCTAAAGTAATGACAGTCTGCGCATCATTAGGCAAGCGTGCTCTAAGGTAAGCACAGTCTGCGCGTCGTTAGGCAAGTGTGCTCTAAGGTAAGGACAGTCTGCGCGTCGTGAGGCAAGCGTGCTCTAAGGTCAGGACAGTCTGCGCGTCGTGAGGCAAGCGTGCTCTAAGGTAAGCACAGTCTGCGCGTCGTGAGGCAAGCGTACTCTAAGTAAGGACAGTCTGCGCATCGTTAGGCAAGCGTGCTCTAAGGTCAGGACAGTCTG